AATATTATCCGCGTAGAATGTAACGTGACCGCGGGCGCGTACAACAACGGCAAACTCGTTCATACGATACACGAATTTTCACCGAGGGTACCGCCGGGATATAAGATATCGGAAACGCCGGCGCAGATCATTTACCTTCCGATCATCGCGCGGAGCATTACGGATTTAACGTTTCGCGTTGTTGATTAGAACGGACGATTGCTCGATTTTCGAGGAGAAGAGATCACCGTAAGATTGCACGTACGACGGCTGCGGCGATAACGTACGTACGTATGCTACGTATGAGATGCTCGTGTTGAACGGATCGAAAGACGCGAGAGATAACGCAATCTTTACGAAATCAGAGATACCAACAACATCAACGTCGACATTCACTAATATCCAATCATTCGAGAAAAAGAAACTCAGCGCATCGAACGTTGCGTTTTTGCAATCTTTGGGATTCGCGGTGCGAAACAGCTGAACGATGACCGACATTCTCAACATCGGTGACGAACCTATCTTTGACGATCGTATCGTCAAGATCGAGACTCACACGTACAACCCGTTCGCCAATACAACGTTCGGACACAATGACGAGATAAGAATACCCATACAACAACAGGATCTGTATACGCTGCCGCATAAGAGTTTCCTATACATCGAGGGACGACTAACGAAAAACAAACCACCAGCTGAAGGAGAAAATGATGTGATAATGGGAAATAATTGCGTCGCATTCATGTTCGACGAGATTCGATACGAACTCGACGGCGTTGAGATTGATCGCAATAGAAACGTAGGAATAACTACTACGCTCAAAAACTATGTAACGGTATCATCCGATAGAGACACGATTTTGAAAAATGCTGGCTGGGAGCCGTTTACCTACACGAATGGACATTTCAATTTTTGCGTACCGCTCTACATGTTGCTGGGATTTTGCGAGGATTACAGACGCGTGGTGATTAACGCTCGTCACGAATTGATCTTGATACGATCGCGCAACGACAACAATTGTCTGCATGGAAATTCGGCGCAGGAGCCTGTGATCGACATATTCAAGATACAATGGCGAATGCCTCACGTGCTGTTGAGCGAAATCAAAAAGTTGTCGATGCTGCGTACTCTGGAAAGCGAACGATATCTCAGCATGGCTTTTCGCTCGTGGGATCTGTACGAGTATCCGCTATTGCAGCTTACAACCAAGCATTCGTGGGCCATTAAGACTGCGACTCAACTGGAGAAACCACGATACGTTATCTTCGCTCTGCAGACAGGTCGGAAGAATGTCATGCCTAAGGATACGAGTCGATTCGACCACTGCAAATTGATCAACGTTAAACTTTATCTGAATTCGGAATATTATCCGTACGACGATATGAATCTGGATTTAGATAAAAACAGATATTCCATTCTGTATGATACGTACACACGCTTCTGCAAGAATTATTACGGATACGAGTATCTCGAGCCGAGTCTCAACGTCCTGAAGTTTCTACAACACGGTCCGTTCGTGATTATCGATTGTTCTCGACAAAACGAATCGGTCAAGAGCGCGACCGTGGATGTGAGATTGGAATTCGAGTGTAAGGAGAACGTGCCGCCGAATACCACTGCGTACTGCCTCATCATACACGATCGCGTGATCCAGTACAATCCGTTGACCAACGTTGTACGCAAAATCACCTAGGCGATAACATCGACAGAAGAGAGAGGGGGAAGAGGAGCATGATATAAATCAAAGTCTTGCGAGATGGTTTTAGAGTTTTGTCGTTCCTCTCGACTGGCGTATCGAAGAGAGAGAGATCTCGTCATGTCCATACCAACGTTTGTGGATCTGCAAGGATTTATCGTTGGGAAAAATTTTGTCGTGAAGGAAGCGGCAGTCTTGAAAAAGGGATACGTTCTATCGCATTACTTTTTCGCAAGTCCCGTACCGTGGCACACGCTTACAAAATCTGAGCGATGTCAAGTCTCATGGCTGATTAGAAATCATCACGGATTACAATGGGAAGACGGAAACGTTCCGTATGGCTTGGCTCAGCGTGCGATTACAACAGCTGTCGTTGGTACGATACATGAAGAAGAAGAAGAATCGTCTGTCGTGTACGTCAAAGGACTTGAAAAGCAAAAATGGCTGGCCGATATACTAGACGATGCGGGGAACGGCTATATTATTGAAACCTTGGATGCGGATTACGAAGATATGGATGCTCTAAATAAATTAGATGATACGAATAGTATGCGATGCGGAAAACATGTTAAGAATTGCGCATTACAAAATGTATTCAAAATATTTAATTGGTAGTCGCGACGCCAGAAAGAATTGCGAGAAAAATAAAATATGTAAACATTAATATGCGTTATCTCTCTTATTTCCCCACCCTAATCCTTTGCATGCGTTTATAAGAATTCTTTTGTTCGAGCGCCGCCTCCCTCTTATCCTAAATTCCAATGCGTTAGAAGCATTGATCCCCCACCACTACATTATACTTTTGGTAGATGAGCGTCGGGTATAACCGATTAATTCCTGTAATTCCGATCAGTGTCGCGTTAACCGCTCGTGGATTCACATTTCATAACCTCCCAAAGAAATGTACTACGTTGAAAGAAGCAGCAGCGGCATCGCAAGACACGTGAATAATTACGTGCCGAGTCGTGATAAAACTCCATCGTTTGAGAACAAATACGACGAGTAAGTTTCGTTTAATATTTTTTTTCTATTTTTCTATTTTTCTATTTTTACAAATTGTATTATTAGTATTACTTAATTTTCATTTTTCCCGTAGCATTTCGTCGGAGCGTCGTGCGGTTCGTATACTAGGCAGACGATACGCATTGACAGCTACGGAATTCAAATTCCTCGAAATCGGTATCAACGTGGGTCCGCCGAGTTACGTGGAGATTGTCATAGGAGATCATCGGGGAAAGGAACTGATATTATCTCTCGAAACGTGGAAGGGACTCTGCGAGCAACGTCGCAATATTCTAAATCTCCTTCGGAACGACTCTCACGACATGTATAATTTTATAAGCGTTGGACCGCTAACAGTGCGAGTTCGTACGATTAACGACGCCAAACTCATAAGTCTCGAATCTTCGTATGCATGATGATGGTCGAATCGACGTTACATCGTATGTTCGATCTCGATGATTGCATAGATGTAACTTTTGATCGACTGAATAAAGTGATCGAGACAGTCGATGTCAAATTTACGCAATTCTCCAATATCGCGTCCACTGTAACAGATCCTAAAGAAGTATCAAATGTAATACGCGCGAGTGACGCTTTCAACAAGCATCAACTCGTCGATTGCGAGCTGGCGGCTTTAGCTTTTAGTCCATATAATATGTAAGACAAAAAATATATAAAAACTTGAATAAAGAGTTTTAAGTTTACTATATCGTGGTGTACTTTCTTTGCGTTTGCCCATCCCAGCTTTCATGCATAGCTCCTCGCGAAAGAGAGAGTTATCATGAGAGAGCAAACACTAGGAAAGAAAGAGAGATAAGGATACGTCGAACGAAAAAATCTAGAATTACTTATATCGGGGGTGAGGGGTGTACCGCGAAAGCGCTGATATACGAGCGGTGGAAGCAAGGGTACAAAGCAGCCAAACATCGGCGCTGATACGTTAAAAATTCTTCCGAGAAAAAATCGTTAAAGACGATTCTGAGGTACTATTTGTTTATATTATTTATCAACCAGGCATGCGACACAATATTTCATATACTTTCGATAAATATATGGGACCGCGCGTACTTTTTACGAGGCGTTTACGACGATATGGCGATAATGTCACATCTCTATTATATGATCATAATCTCAATTCGAAAATGCTGATGTTTATATTATTTATAAACCGAACATGTCCGTACGCAATACTGTTTATCAGCTGGGCATGTAATATAATATTACCATAAAACATCTAACACGCGCCGCCGCCGAAATCCCTCCGTCCCGCGTGACGTCATTCCCCCGCGCGCCTCACCCCCCCTGAGAGGACCTGGGTTAGAACTCTCCTATATATCCTACTAATGAATTATGGAATTATTGGCATTAATCAGATATTTAATTTAAATGTATTAATATTATGTCTATGTATTAATATTATGTGCAGGGTGTCCCAGGAAAAAAGGTCACTACTCTAGGAGGTGATAGAATCGGTCATTTTAAGCAAAACAATTCATATAAACGAGTGCCCTATTCCGAACAATTTCCGAGATAGAGCTATATTTGAATGTTGTTCAAAATTGAACGGATCTGCCAAAAAATGGGCACAGCATTTCGCGATCGCAATCGTAATAGCCGCGCTTCACACGCCAAGCGGCAGCGACCCGCGCGCGCGCGGCGCTTAAAAATCTCCACGAATCTGAGCGCGACACTGTGCTTCAAATTATTAACGCCTTTTCTGTCAACGGTCGCCCGAAAAGAGTGACAAATAGCAACAACGGGAAAATAAACGGATTTTGACTTTGGGAAGGGTAAACAAATAAAACAGACCAGAATATTCGAGGTCTAGAAAATTCGAGCAACTTCTCGTATTATGTTGCTATATAAACCTCTTCGCACGACCGTCATAGTCGACTTGATTTTGTATCTCGAAGCCGTAGTGTGTTACTCCGCTCAAAGATTATTAACAAAAGCCAGAAGTTCTCGCTGCCTTCTGGAGTCCGTCGCTCGCGGCCCGGTCTTATTTCTTCGCTTTCCTCGAGAAAATAGTAGCGTTTGCTCCTCGCTCTATCACCGCAGAACGTTAAGAAATATATAATTTAGAAATAGTGAGTTTTGTTTGATTTTCTTTTATTTGTATCTAGACTAAGAGTGAATAAACTTTAAGACCATAAAGCTTCGAACACCTTTGCTTTGCTTCCTACCGCGATCTCGCACATTTTTTGGTCCTTCGAGCCGGAGCTTCTCTTCCGGGTGTGCCGTGCTTGTGCAGTGCGTGATCCGGTCTTCACGTGCGCTTCCTCTGTGCTTCGGAGTTTACCGCCTGAAAGGGAAGCAAGTGACTATGAGTGTCGAGATAGTGAAATTAGCGGACGCTCAAATAAATCTTTTCGGAAAGATCGCTCGCACTGGCGAGAATCTCCGTAAAATGGGGACTGCAAAAACCACTCAAGGGGTCGTCGAGGCTTGCCTGCAGGGTCTGGAAAAAAAGTGGAGCAAGTTCGATCAACAGGACGATGAGCTCTTTCCTCACCGAGACGTGCTTCTAGACCATGAGTATTACAAGCAGGACTTACCTTTTCTGGCCGAGGAAGCCTACCTGCAGCAAAAGGGCGCTCTCCTGGAACTCCTCCAGGGATATAACAAAAGGGAAGCGAGAGCAGCGGCGGGAGTCGACTCCTTGCCATCCCACCCCCCTCGCACTACGCTGCCGCGGATCCAGTTGCCGCATTTCTCAGGGAAGTACGAAGACTGGCCAGCCTTCAGGGATCTCTTCAACTCCATTATTGAAAGGGATGCCTCTATAACGCAAGTAGAAAAATTGCATTATTTGAAAACCTGTTTGAAGGGCGAAGCCGAATTATTGATCCGCGATCTATCTACGACGTCCGAGAATTTTACTAGAGCCTGGGAAACGCTAAGCGCGTACTATGAAAATAAGAGACTCCTAGTGCGTGCCTATTTCTCGAATTTCTTCGCGCTTCAAAAGATAAAAACCGAATCGGCAGAGGAATTACGCAAGATATTCCACGGAGTAAAGTCGGTAGTCAGCTCGCTCGAGAGCATAAATCGGCCGATCTCAAGCTGCGAAGATTTGTTCGTTTACCTCGCGGTCGAGTTGCTCGACACCCGCTCCCGTCGGGAGTGGGAAAACTCCATTAGTGACTCGGTAGAACCTCCCTCATACAAGGTTCTCGAACAATTTCTCGAGCGACGGTTGCACACTCTTGAGTCGATGTCGCCGGTTAATAAGGCTGATCGTACGCCCTCAAAGTCAGAGCCGAAGACGACGCGGAGCCATCACGCGCGAAAGCAGGAGGCGAAGCCGGAGGTACTACGCGGACGCTGTTCTCTATGTCAGAAAGACCATTTTGTCATGTTATGCGACTCCTACAGGAAGAAAACCGCATCCGATCGCAAGCAGCACATTGAGAACCATAACTTGTGCACCAACTGTCTCGGGCGCCACAAGGTGGAAGATTGTTGCTCAAAGAAAAACTGCACCGCGTGTGGAAATCGGCACCATACTTCCTTGCACGACGCGTTCCGGGAAAGCGATTCCGCTACAAGCACGAACGTAGCCCTGCGAAAAACCGGAACTCTCTCCTCCGTCCTTCTGGCAACCGCGCGCGTTCGCGTAGCCGACCGATACGGTAATTGGCACCCCGCTCGTGCCCTACTCGACCAAGGCTCCGAATCGTCTATTATTTCTCATCGGCTTGTGGGAAAGTTAAATCTACCTCGCTCTCCGGTAAGGGTCGCAGTGTACGGAGTCGGCGGCCAGAAGACAAGCACATCGCGGAGTCGAGTCACGCTCACCATGGCTCCTCGGAGTGAGCGTCCTACGATCCAACTAACCGCTCTGGTTCTTCCGCGCCAACTCACTGCCTACTCCGGCGCAAGCACGCTCGGCTCCAGGACTTGGCCGCACCTCCAAGGAGTACTACTCGCCGATCCTGACTACAGTGCTGAGGATCCAGTAGATCTCATCCTAGGCGCCGACGTTTATGGCGAAATCCTCTTGCCTGGCCTACGGAAGGGTACTCGTCACGAACCTGTAGTGCAAAACACAAAATTAGGATGGATACTCTCCGGCGCTGCCGAAAGCGGACCTTCCCCCGCAACAATGCGCTCTCACCAATGCCAAGTGGATGACGACCTCTCCGCGATGGTGCGACGCCTGTGGGAACAGGAGGAGCTTCCATCCGCTACATCTGCTCTCTCCAAGGCTGAGGTCGAGTGCGAGGACCACTACGTCCGCACTCACTTTCGGAAGCCCGACGGTCGGTATGTTGTGCGGCTGCCTCTAACAACATCAATGCCCGATCTCTCCGGAACTCGTCGCATAGCTCTTCGCGCTCTGAAACGAATAGAAAGTCGCTTCATTAAGGATCCCGCCTTCTACTCTCTTTATCGAGAATTCATGCAGCAGTACATGGAGCTCGACCACATGCTGCCGGCACAAACTCCAGCGAACGGCACGACAGTCTGCTATTTACCTCATCACGGGGTCCTGCGGGAATCTAGCGTCACGACCAAGCTCCGCGTAGTCTTTAATGGCTCAGCGATCGTGACAACGGGCTCATCTCTCAATCAACATCTTCACTGCGGACCCAACCTGCTGCCGACTTTAGCTGACGTGCTCCTTCGATGGCGTCGCCATCGCTACGTCCTCGCCACGGACGTTGAAAAGATGTACCGGCAGATCGAAGTCCATCAACAAGACAGAGATCTGCAAAGAATACTGTGGCGATCAAGCCCTAAGGAAAACATCCAGGAGTACCAATTAAAAACGGTAACTTACGGCCTCTCCTGCGCACCATTTCTGGCGATCCGCACGCTGCACCAGCTTGCCCACGATGAGAAGTCGAGCTACCCGCTCGGCGCCACTGCCCTTCTCAAGGATATTTATATGGACGACGTCCTCACAGGCACGTCTACGATCAAAGAAGCCAAGGAACTTCTCCGACAGCTGACCGGAATCTGCAGGGCGGGCGGTTTCCCGCTTAAAAAATGGTCCGCCAACGATGCCGCTCTACTCAGCGATGTACCCTGCGAGGACCGGCTGCTACGTGAACCGCGGTGGTGGCAACCCGGGGAAAGTCACTCGACTCTGGGCTTGCTTTGGCACCCTCACGAGGACTCCTTTGCCTTTTCAGCAGCGTTTACTCAGCCGGACGTCCTCTCAAAACGCACCGTCCTCTCCTTGACAGCCAGATTGTTTGACCCGTTGGGATGGCTCTCCCCCGTGACGGTACGGGCAAAAATCTGGATCCAAGCCGCCTGGTTGCGAGGCGTCGAGTGGGATGACCCCTTACCCGAGGATGACGCCCATCAATGGAGAGGCTGGCAGTCGGAGCTCCCACACCTAGGAGACATCCGGATTCCTCGCTGGTTAAAGTCTGAGCCGACTGACAGTAATCCGGAAATTCATGGCTTTGCCGACGCTTCGGAGAAGGCTTTCGCCGCCGTAGTATACCTGCTAACACGAGACAAAAACAATCAAGTCCAGGTATCTCTTCTCTCAGCTAAAACTAAAGTCGCTCCTCTTAAGCAGGTTAGCTTACCTCGGTTGGAGTTGTGCGCCGCTACTCTGCTGACACGGCTCGTCGCGCACATCCGACTTGCTCTGGACGCCTTGGCCACTCCGACACATTTGTGGACCGACTCAACCGTCGTCTTAGGATGGATCCGAGGCCACCCAGCATCCTGGAAGACCTACGTGGCTAACAGGGTCAGCGAGATCCAGACCACGTTACCCGACGTCGCATGGCATCACACTCCTGGAGTAGACAACCCAGCCGACTGTGCTTCCCGAGGCCTGTCTCCCTCGGAGCTGAAAGGCCATCCACTTTGGTGGAACGGCCCCCGCTGGTTGCAAGGAGATCCGGAACAATGGCCGCTCGGCCCTGTCAGCACCCGCGGCGTCGACCTGCCTGAGCGGCGTCTCGGCGTACATCAAACTACTGCGGCCGATGATTCGATCGATGAACCGGAGCTTCTGACGCAATACTCCGAGCTCCACCACCTAGTGAGGATCACAGCCTGGTGCCGCCGTTGGTTACGCCTTAGGAAGACCAAGGGCATTGAGCCGGGAGGCAGTCGCAACCTCCCAGCGCCCGTACTGCTACCTTCCGAACTGGATGAGGCGTTGGCTGGCTGGATTCGGGTGGTCCAAGCGATCAACTTTAAGAAGGAGTTAAAGTTCGTGCACAGAGCCGTTCCACTTCCGAAAAAAAGCACGCTAGCCAAGCTAGGACCTTTTCTAGACAGCAAGGGTATTCTTCGCGTCGGCGGACGGCTGAGCAATGCGGCGATGACACGCGAGGCGAAGCACCCGACCTTACTACCAAGCGCCTCCCATCTGACGCAGCTGCTGATCAAGGCCACCCACCTGCGGACACTGCATGGAGGAGTGCAGCTTACCCTGGCCGCCCTGCGCCAGGAGTACTGGGTGTTACGCGGGAGAGCTTTAGTGAAGAGCTTTATTCATCGCTGTCTGCCGTGCGTGCGATGGCGGGCGGCTACCCCTCAACCACCAATGGGTAACTTGCCTGCTCCCAGAGTCATACCATCACGGCCGTTTCTGCACACTGGCGTAGACTACGCTGGACCTGTCTGGTTACGCACCTCCAAGGGCCGAGGTCATCGTGCGTATAAGTCCTTCCTAGTAATCTTTGTCTGTCTTAGTTGCCGCGCGGTCCACCTTGACGTCGCTTCCGACTATACCTCCGATGCCTTCTTGGGCGCTTTACGTCGGTTCATCAGCCGTCGCGGCCTATGTAAAGTCCTCTACAGTGACCGCGGAACGAACTTTGTAGGCGCCGATAATGAACTTCGAGCGCTTTTTTCCGCCAACAGCAAAGAAGGACGACAAATCCGCACTCGCCTAGCAGATGAAAGAATCGAGTGGTGCTTTAATCCGCCAGCCGCTCCTCACTTCGGCGGTCTCTGGGAGGCGGCCGTCAAATCGGTGAAGCATCACCTTCGCCGTGTGATCGGAGACGCCAAATTAACCTACGAGGAGATGGCCACACTTCTAGCACAGATTGAATCCTGCCTAAACTCTCGCCCACTTCAAGCCATGTCGGACGACCCAGAGGACCTAGAGGCGCTGACCCCTGGCCATTTCCTCGTAGGCACGGCGCTCAACGCCATCCCGACTTCACCACTGACGGAAGGGCCTAAGTCGCTACTCACCAGGTGGAAGCTGCTTGGTCAAATGCGAGACAGCTTCTGGACCCGATGGTCACGAGAATATCTCCACTCTCTAACACATCGACCGAAGTGGTACAAGGCCGACGAGGAAGTCCGCATCGGCCGCCTTTGTCTGCTCCGTTGCGAAGTCTCACCTCCCAACAAATGGCCCCTAGCCAGAATCGAAAGCGTCTACCCCGGGGGAGACGGACACACTCGAGTCGTCCGCGTTCGCACTTCCACCGGAAACCTAACGCGACCTGTAACAAAATTAGTGCTCCTCCCTGTCAGCTCCGGCGCCAGAGAAGACGGCGAATCATAAAAAAAAAAAATTTTTTTTTTTTCGATTAATCAGTCCTCTACGACAACTAAACTTAGCGTACCTACCGTTGTATACCTAGTACTACCAGGAAACATAATCACGCTTTACCCACTCGCGCACCACATGGTACCTTAACTTCGCCGACATCAATCTGAAAGAGTCTTCTTGATCGTATAGGTCCCCATACGAGGCGGGCGGAATGTTCAAAATTGAACGGATCTGCCAAAAAATGGGCACAGCATTTCGCGATCGCAATCGTAATAGCCGCGCTTCACACGCCAAGCGGCAGCGACCCGCGCGCGCGCGGCGCTTAAAAATCTCCACGAATCTGAGCGCGACACTGTGCTTCAAATTATTAACGCCTTTTCTGTCAACGGTCGCCCGAAAAGAGTGACAAATAGCAACAACGGGAAAATAAACGGATTTTGACTTTGGGAAGGGTAAACAAATAAAACAGACCAGAATATTCGAGGTCTAGAAAATTCGAGCAACTTCTCGTATTATGTTGCTATATAAACCTCTTCGCACGACCGTCATAGTCGACTTGATTTTGTATCTCGAAGCCGTAGTGTGTTACTCCGCTCAAAGATTATTAACAAAAGCCAGAAGTTCTCGCTGCCTTCTGGAGTCCGTCGCTCGCGGCCCGGTCTTATTTCTTCGCTTTCCTCGAGAAAATAGTAGCGTTTGCTCCTCGCTCTATCACCGCAGAACGTTAAGAAATATATAATTTAGAAATAGTGAGTTTTGTTTGATTTTCTTTTATTTGTATCTAGACTAAGAGTGAATAAACTTTAAGACCATAAAGCTTCGAACACCTTTGCTTTGCTTCCTACCGCGATCTCGCACAATGTACAGTGGCAAAATTATTGATAAGAAAGAGATACTACATACTGTTTCTAATTTATTGCTCAAGTGACACATTTTTTATAGTTTATAATAAATAAATGTAGTAAATTTTCAAAAATTCAGTCAACATCAATACATTTATCAACTATTATGAGAACATGGCGTATTGCTCTTCTGTGTGCATGTTCTCACAAGAGTTAATAAATACATTGATGTTGACGGTGGAATTTTTTAAAATTTATTATAAACTGTAAAAAATATGTCACTTGAGCAATAAATTAGAAATGATACTTAATATCTCGTTTATATGAACTCGTTATAGGACACTCGTTTATATGAACCTTTTTGCTTAAAATGACCGATACTGTCACCTCCTAGAATAGTGACCTTTCCTCCTGGGACACCCTGTATAGACATAATATTAATACATTTAAATATCTGATTGATGCCAATAATACATTCTGTATAATTTTATATATTTTTGAGGAAAATAATTATTTTTTCAAATTAAATTAATATATATTTTTATTTAATACATATTTATTTTTTGTTACATATTCATAAATGTGTATCAGTCACTTATATTAATTATTTGTATATACTTTTTCTTGTTACAAACAAAATAAAACGTTATATCTGTCAGATATATTATCTGTCATATATATTATCTGTCAAAATATTATCTGTCATGTATATGTGTATATATATATATATATATATATATATATATATACATATACAACAGTTATCATTTATATTATAATAGTTTCACACACACATGTTAACTTAATATTAATAATCTTATAATCTAATCAAATAATCTGTATCAAATAATCTTTATAAGAGTAATCTAATCAAAAAATTTCTATTAAATCATATATTCTAACTAAAAATAATCTGTATCAAATAATCTTATAATAAAATCTTATAGTTATATATAAGATGTCTCTAAATTCGATAATAAGATTGCAGCTAATTAATTGTCAAAAATTAAGTAATAAAAATATTTGCGATATTTATTCCAAGCAATAGTTTTGAAGAGAGAGAGAGAGAGAGAGAGAGAGAGAGAGAGAGAGAGAGAGAGAGAGAGAGAGAGAGAGAGGGAGGGAGAGAGGGAGAGAGGGAGAGAGAGAGGGGGGGGAGAGAGAGAGAGAGAGCTGGTTAATCATAGACTACGTTTTCGATAATTGCTCGATCATGACGTACGTCATTAACATTAGCGCACATAAACGCATGCGACTTCTAAACAGGCAATTTTTTTAAACACAGCCTGTGATTGGCCAACTTTAAATCTTTATATCGAAAATTATTATGTGGAATAAATAATGGCATATACTTTTATTACTTAATTTTTCACGAATTTTTATACTGCAGTTTTGTTATTCTCGAATTTCGAGATATTCTTGTATATACAGATATACAAAATAAAAACAATGTCTTTACAATAGTACACGTTTAAAACTAAATTTTATATTTTAATCTTATTTTAATGACTTTTATATTGAACAAATATAAAAATATAAAACAAAAATTACGTACAAGAAATGTAATAGTTTCCATCTGCCATAAGATGTATACTATTAGGAATCAAAGAAATTAATTTTGTATGAGCAATGCAACCCCACACTTCTATTCGTGCGACTTCAAATGCATGTATATGTTGCGAAAATCTGAGTGTTTCTACATTTTGATAAATATAATAAATATGTTGATTATTATTTATTATAATGTATTGAATATGGCCAAAGAAACGAAATATGCCATCAGTGTCTACTTCTATGATCATACCAGGTTTATATACGATTCCATTAATATTTAACCACGATACAGGAAAATAATTTTCATTGATATCCTCAGATAGTGCATTTTTAAAATTGTTATAATTGTCTAACTGTGTCAGTTTATTCTTTAGAACAACGCCAACAGAAAAACGATTTTCGAAACCTTTATTTTTAATAAATAGATATGCTAATTTTAGTTGATGCTTCAATGTTAAAGTATATGAAGGATTTCGCCGCGATGTTACTATCTTAGCATTTTGTTTTATTTCTTTATGTTTAGCTTCGAAACGCATGCAAGATAGATATTTCAATGGACCCATTTTCATTATTATTCGTGGATAATGAATCAAATAATGATGTTTAGGCTTTAATTTTTCTTTAAAAAGATGTAAATATAATTTATGGTGTTCTGAAATTAGTGACTTGAGCAGTTCACAAGTTTCTCTCGTTAATATTGGTGTTTCGATTATACATATAATTTCTCTTAAAATCAGATACAGTTCCCAAAATTTATTTTTGATGGGTATCAAATCACCAATAATTAAACCTAGAAATTTAACTAAAGTAGACATTTCTGATGCTGAAATCAAAAGATATTCATTTCTTAACGATGCTTTAGTTACAATAGGCGGAATGTTTTCATCGTTGCTAATAGGATAATCAAAAAACCGTATTCTATCGTTCAAAATGTCCAAAGAAAGTAACTTTTCTGTATATATTAAGTTATGTAGAATGTTAACAATTTCATATCGACAGATATCTTCGTAAATATCATGCATAACATCAAAACATATATTTTCAATGACATGAAAACTGGAAATTGTATTAAAAATACATTCCTCTTGGATACCATGAGCGTTTGTAGCACAATCAGCAGCATAATTTAAACGAGTTCTTAATATTTCAGACTCTTCTGATATCTGGTTTTGTAGAATGGTTTTATCAGCCAAACAAGCTCTACATGAATATGCCGAATTAAAACTTTTTGAAAATCCAAAAATTGTATGGAGTCCTAAATTATCTCCTATAATTCCTATTAAAGCAAAATATATTTTTTGTTGTGTATTATTTACATTAATAATTAAACCATTTGTTTCTAAGTCTTTGATTTGATTCACTATATTAAAAAATATAATTTTGTTTCCAAACTGTAAATGATCCTTTGTATCATGCATTTGAAGCACAAAGATATTTTCTAGAATGCTTGAATATTTATTTGGAATACTAGGAATAGTACAATATATGGCACCAATTTTATGTATTCCACTATGGGATCCAAGAGGATTATTAATTTCGAAGTCATCGAAATATAATAAAAGAGGCAAAACTAATTTTTCTGCAAATTGTTTTTCGATATGTTTCCATACTTCACCATGAATAATAGATGTTAATACATTGCTACATTTATTTTCACACATATGTGACATTATCATCTGAAAGACATTTGGCAACTCTAAAAATTTTGTTAAAAGAGAATTTATGGGAACAATTTGTAAAACTCGATTAACTAAATGCTTCTATGCATTTGTATACGTTTCGGATTTAATATTACAGCAATATCAATAGATTGTGGCATAATAAGATATCCATATCGTATAAAGTACTGCAATGTTTGATGTTCGGTTTTAAATTTAGCAAAAGCATTTTGTAGAATCATGCACATATTTTTTAAATCTGATGATGCATTCCGTTTCTTCTCTTGACATTCATATTTATGTTTAATAATTTCTATAGTTGATTTGTAAAGATCGTCCACATATTGTATTATATTATGTGCAAGTGATCGTGATAAAGTACTATCAGAATATAATTTTGAAACAAATAAAGCAGCCCTTTTCGTAACTATATCATCAAATTGTTCTAAAGTTATCAATGAATCAATAATTAATTGTTCACAAGTTTTCGTTGTTAATAATTCCTCACAATCAGTGTATGTTTTAAATTGATCTGATTTAACAATGTCGTGACATAAAATATTATTATAACATAAATAAGAATCAGGTGGAATAAAAAAATTATTATTTTGATTATGCTTTTGGATTAAATGTCGTTTAAATGAATATATATTGGTAAAGTTGCGCATGCAATTTTGCTGCTGACATATAAAAGTAGACGATGATGCACTATGTGCCAATTTTATATGTGCTGTAAGAAATTTGACTGTCAGAGAACTATTAATACAAAATGGACATTTATACATGTTATGACAGAAATACTACAAGATTTTATAAGTATATAAGGAATAGTAATTAAAATTTTTTGTTATACATTACATGTAAAAACCTTCGTACGTTTAAAATAATGTAATTATTCGTTCGTAGTATTAAGTGTTTTAAAAGTCTTTATAATTGGCATTACATATGAAATTTGTTT